TTTTTTTTTTTTTTTGTAAGCGGCTATGCCACACCCATTTAGCACAAAACATAGTTAAGTCTTAAATGGCCAAATCTAATTGATGAATCTTTACTTAGTGACTACTTTTTGCACTAAGAAAAGCAAAAGCAAACGGTCAAAAAAGAGAAAATGAATCTCAAGAATCGTCAAAAGAAAACCTTCACCTTTTCTTCTTTTCGTCATTGCTTGCAGGATTATCTATATACCATTCTTGACATTAAAGTGACCCAAAACAGTCTCTTCTTCTCAAGGCAAGAATAGCCCAAGAAACCTCCATAGGCTGCACAAAAGAAACCTGCTGCAGCAAACAAAGAACCCCGGCCAACACAATTCCAGCCACCGCTCTTACAATTATAATAACCTCCACTCTCTATGTTATCTATGAACTCGGGTTCCACCCAGGCATGGTGTGTCTGGGTGTTCTTTTTGGGTGCAAAGGCTCCCGTTCTGTCAAAGACTACGTTCTATCAGTTTTGGTGATCATAGCTATTGTTTTCGGATTGCGTATATTTTGTTATGCTATTCATCGTTTGTTGAAGAGGGAGGATTCTCAATCTCGCCGCCGTGATGAGAATTTAGGTGATGGATCTGGATTGGAAATGCAACCGCAATATACGAGCCATATGCGCATAGGATTAACCTGAGGAGCATGCCAAAAAGAAAGGTTAGCGATGATCTTGGTTAATTAACCGGAGAGGGTCATGTTACATATTTTTAATTGTTGATTAATACATTCCAACCATGAATTCTCTTGTTAACATAGTAAGAAGATCGATGTGCAATGTTTTTCATATAATTTAGAGATGAAAATTATTCTTTGAATCCTTAGCTTATTATTTTAAACTCTTAATGGAATTGGGCTGTCTTCCACATGATGGAAGTCCCATTCAAATTTTCTTTTTCTTTTTTCCTTTTAAATGTAAGGATAATTTATTTTTAGGATAGTGGCTTGTGCACATTTATGTTTAATATACTATACAACATATTTATTTAAAAATTATTATTTTTTATCTAAAAGTAAAAGCAGATAAATATAAAAATATAGTTATGCATATAGGATGTAGGAACTATTAGTTAAACCAATTATACTTATAATATATTTTAATAACTAAATTGAAACGAGTGTTAAAAAATATTTTGAATGAGTTTGTATCAATAATTTTTCTTTTATTTTGTAATTTTTGGAATATAAGAGAGACTCATGCCTATATGTACACAAAATGTTAAGGAAGTACTTGCCAACAGTACATATCCAAAATAATTTCAATTGAGAATCAAATTAATTGTATTTAAGAAAATGATTAGTACGTTATCTGGCATAATGCATCTTTTCGCACTTATTCGGTTTAATTATTAAAATATAATAAAAATATAGTTAATTTAACTAATTCTTACTTCTGTATATATGACTGTATTTTTAAATTTATTTACTTTTAATTTCAAATCAATTGTGAAGTATATTAACACCATACGAAAGGTTACTCCACTCATATGATATGATGCCTTTCAAGTTATGATGTTTATGGGTTTGGGGTACCCCTTGTACTCCATTTATTAATAAATAAATATTATTTTTTGCTGTTCAAAAAAAAAAAATTGTGAAGTATATTAAATCAAAAAGTAGACTTGTTAATATCTAAAAGATATGTACCAATTGATCATACTATGTATTAATTAGTAGGTTTGAAATGTGAACAAACTGAACTTAAAAGACCCTAATTGTTATTTAAAAAAAAAAAAGACAAGATAAGAAAAAGGCGAAAAATGATCTTTTAAGCGTTAGCCTGATTATTATTATTATTATTATTATTGGGCAATTAATGTGTTTTCATACTAATTTCAGCTCCTCATGAGACTATTTCTTTCTTAAAAAATCTTAAGTGCACAATACATTTAAGAAAATTAATTGGATAATAATTAGTATACTTTTTTAGTTTAGCATACTATAAAATATATTTATTTAAAACTTATTTTTTTTATTTGAAATTTAATGATTAAGTTGAGTAGACGTGAAAAAATGAATCAAACAAAAAATGTACCAATTGTTTTTTAAATTAATTTCTTTGAGTGTAATCCCAAAACTTAACCCTAGATGTAACCTACAAATTATATTAAATAAAAAATGTACTCCACTGTTCAAACCGAGCTTTCGGATCCAAATAGTTCACCCCTAAGCTTTAAGGTGCTTGGATCAGTTGGTGGGGCTTAAAACCCTACCAACACTTTGAAAAATCTCCCTCTCCCAATCCTCCAAAATTATAAACTGTTTTTTTTTTTTTTAAATGTACTCCACTGTTCAACTTAAGTCGACCTAGTTATTTTTTAATAAAATAGTTGTGAAAATGCTATAATTATGTATAATGTT